TGAACCTGGAGATTAAAGGGGTATCACAGCTTGTGGCAGATGCCACAAGACAGCAGTGCCTGAACAAAGAAAGTCTAACTCCTGGAGTCATTTATACCAAGAGCAAGCCAGACCTGTCCTCTCAACAGTCCCGTCTCATGTCTCTCAAAACTGTTCCTCCAACCAAGGGTGCACTCTATTCATTTAATAGTACATCAGTCATGATATTGGAAAGGAATGAGGAACTTTGTCTAATCAGGGAAGAGTTTACCTTTTCTGATCCCAGCTGACCCAGGACAATATATAATACCACAAACAGATGTTATCAACCTGAGTCCACATTTTGCTTTACAACATATACTGTGGATAATTTGTTGCTTTCAACATGCTTCCAAGGTTGCTGCTTTCAGTGATGATACACACACACATACACACACACACACACACACACGCACACATGCACGCACACACACACGCATGCACGCACACACTTTATTCCAGACCAAGGGCAAAGAAGCTTCATGAGGGGAAAATGGAGAACATAGTTTAATACTAAAGCTATATACTTAGCTTAGCTTGTAGAAGTCCATTACTATAGGAGTTCAAGGCCTCATAAGTTATGATTGTTTTTATTGTTTCCCTAAAGGTTAGATAAATGTAAATAAGCTGATTACATAATAGGACAGCAGATTGAATACATAGTGATAATTGATTTTGAAATTTATGAGATAAAATTCCCATTTTTAACAGAAGAAAAGTCAATCCCACAAAAGTCAGATGACCCTCAGATCTAAGAGTTTCTTGAATTGCATAAAGAGCAGCAAGAAGGATAAATCCATATACAAAGAAGACTAGACTCTGACCCTGTCCCCCTGGTTAGAAGCTAAGAATAAACAAAGGTGAAGAAAACTGTGATCTAGATCTACCCTATCAACTTGGTACCCGAGAATCAAATCAGAGTCAGTGTGGACCTCTCTAACAATGCCTCTGGCTAATAAAGGTTAAGAAATAAACTTTGCCTACATCTGCAAACAGTCTTCAGAAGTTACTTGAAAAAGACAACCGGGGACTGAATGGACTTGAACTATTGTCAAAACTCAAAATATGAATCAGTCAACTAAGGGTTTTATAATTGTAGGAATTTCAGTCTCTGACAAACAACATAAACACCAGAGAGCAGATACATTCTCTCCCTCACCACATGCCTCTCCATCCTGTCAAAACTATACAAAGGAACAAGACTATTATCCTCAAGCGAAAAAGGTAGACTCCAGAACTGGCATAATTTTTAACCTAGAGTGACTTAAAAGACATTAAGTCCAAGTTTATCTACAAATAACTAGATTCACTTTTGTATTATCAGAGGTGATTTTAGCCAATATTCTTCAGTACAGAAGAGTCCAAAGATTTCTAGTGCATTCTCATAACTGAAGTCTGGAGGAGTCAGAAAATATACAATAGTTACTGAAGTTAATCTATCATTAGGGTAAACTCAACAACAGTCATTCTCAGGGGTGGCATAGTTATCAAGAACTGGAGAAGGCTGAGGTGGGTCTCAGGGGACATGATGTACCGGCACTTCCTGGATAGAAGCCAGAGAAATCAATAGTCACCAATGCACAGGAATCCCCTAAAACAAAGGTTTATGCTGCCCCAAATGTAAGCAATCCCAACATTGAGTAAGTTAGACGCCTCATCACTTTTAGGATCTTGGAAGCCTTTAAAACTTGTCCTCTCTGTTTGAATTACTAATATGATAAATGTCCATTATTTTCAGAAAGGCTGAAATAAGCTTCCAGATCTGCTGTGAAGATGGGGATACATTAAAGGGCTCATGGTGATAATACTATTGAACTTAGTTTTAGTTGTAGTTAAGAGCAAGGAAAATACAGCTAACCATTAGCTCCTCTGCTTTGAATTCTGCATCATGGGAATTAGAGAAACCAGAGGAAAAGCAGAAAAAGGGGAAAGCAAGAAGTATGAAGAGAAATAAGTTCATTCTTTAAAAGATTTTTTAATTTTTATTTTATGTGTATGTGCTTACCTGTAGGTAGGTGCACAATGTTCATGTCCAGTGCCCACTGAGGTCACAAGAGGGCATTGGACCCCTGAAGTTACTGGTGATTGTAAGTTGCATTTGGGTACTGGGAACTGAACCTAGGTCTTCTGCAAGAATAGCAAGTGCTCTTAACTGCGGAGCCATTTTTCCAGTCCCCAAGAAGTTCAATTTTATAATTTATGCCACATTGATTAGCAAATTACTAGGTAATTTAGTAATATTAACTTCAAAAATTACAAAACATACGTTATAAAATGGTCATTAAATCATCTCAAAAAACATTTTAACTTCAAAATGAAAGAAAAGTTACAAGTGATTTAGGTGTGGCTGTGCAATGCCACATTACAGTGATCCCTGAATAAGAACAGCCTGACTCAGCATACATTTAAGCCAAAAGTGAGGCCCAAAGTCTCCTGAGAACTTGTTCTTCGTGTTCTAAAACAAAGGTCTTGCTCCCCCTTTACTGAAACTGTACATTCAGCATGAAATGGGGAAGGAAAAGCAGAATTTGTCTTATCAGAGGATTTCCTTTTCTGACCTCTACTGACCTGGAACCACACACACAAACAGACACTATCAGTCTACTCCCACCTGCTCTCTGCAACACAAATGGAACAATCCATTGCTTTCAAGGAATATTCACTGCTTGCAGTACTTGATAGTCACACCACACACACACACATACACACACACACACACACATGTGTATGTTATTCTGGGTTAAGGGACACACACACACACACACACACACACACACACGTGTGTATGTTATTCTGGGTTAAGGGCAGGAAGGAGCATGAGGAATTAATGTTATATATTTAGGCTCCAAGAGGAGCCAGTGCTGGTAGTTTGTGTCAACTTGACACAATTACCTGGGAAGAAGGAACCTCAATTAGGGAATTTTCTTCATCAGACTGGTCTGTGGTCATGTGTTTGGGGCATTTTCTTAATTGTTAATTGATGTAAGAGGGGCTCAACCTCCTGTGGACAGCTCTATCCCTGGGTAGTGGAACCTGGCCCATTTAAGAAAAGTAGCTGAAAAGTCAAGGGAAGCAAGCCAGTACTCAGCTTTTGTCTGTGGTTCTACCTCAAGGCTCCTGCTTTGCTTGAGTTCCTGCCTTGGCTTCCCTCAATGATTGACTGTGATCAGAATATTTAAGGCAAATAAACCCTTCCCTTCCAGAACTGCTTTCAGTCCAGGTTTTATCACAGCAACAGAAAACCAAACTAAGAGACAAAGGCCTAATAAGCTTGTTCATGTTACAAACAAGCTGATATACTGTTTAATGATCTCAAAACGTAAGATTAACTTTGACTACAAGCTTAGGTAAAAGTCATTCCCATATTTAGGTAATTTCTTTCTTAAGGGTTGTATCACTAAATTTTCCCCTTCTGGCCCTCTGGGAGACTGACCCTCAGTCATGGGGTCTCCCGGCTCTGACACTGGCTAATAAAACTGAACTAACAGTTCTACTTGAATTTTGTATACTTTATATGACATTTGGGAGGGGGTGACTTACAAAGAAACAGCTTCTCATAACCCACGCGCCATTGAAGCCTGTCCATAGTCTCCATCAGCTTTCATGCACCACGCCCACGTGCCGTCTCACCCCACAGTCTGAGCACTCATCTCACCCTGCAGAGCCTGCGAGACAGGCAGGGAGTCCAAGCCTTTCACCCAGCTATTCTCACCCCCGCTGTTCGCAACTCCTCGGCCACACACCTCATTCCCTGAGTTCCAATATGGCCTCGGCTCCACACCTTTTCCCAGGGTGCCCCGCGTCACCCATGCTTGCACCTGTCACCCACACTTTTCAGAGGAATGAGTAATTTTCCAGCTACAAGTGTAAATTTCAATTAATCATCCAGTAAAATAAATCATCAGTCTCAAGTGTGTGTGTGTGTGCGTGTGTGTGTGTGTGTGTGTGTGTGTATCAATATGCAACTGATGTGATGGAAATAATTAAAACTTTCCTATATATTTATTGAAATCCTTTAATTTTTCGTTTTACTGATAACTAATGATTTGCACCCTTCATGCTTTCTGTGGACCTGTGTATAATACTTTGTTAAATATCTATTCAAGTACTTTGACCAATTTTTGAAATTTTGATTACATATATTTCGAGTACTGAGATGAAAGTTGCTTGTAGATTCTGGGTACAAATCCTTTATCTCATAAACATATTATAAAATAGTCCCCATTTATGGTTTGTCTTGTTTATTGTTTTTTATGTGTGATGTTGTGGACACAGTCAAGTGCTTTGCTCATGCTAGGCAACTGTTTTATCACCAAGACACATAAGCTTTTTCAATTTATTAACTTTGCCTTTCAGGGAGTAGAAGCTTTTAACTGATTAATTCAGCTTTTTCGTGATTAGTGACTTGTAGTGACTTAAGAAATCTTTTCTTCCTTCAAGGTCCCAGAGATAATTTCATATCTCTGTCTTCTAGAAGGTTTATGTACTTTAGAATGGCTAAAAGTAAAGGCTGACAACATCGTCCTTGCAAGGATATAAACATAGCTCACATAAACTGTTAGGTATAAAACATATGAACACTTTGGAAAACTATTTGGTAGGCTGTTACTGTGAACTGTCAAAATATCCACCTACTCTATGACCCAGCAATTCTACTCAGTATTTACCCAAGAGAAATGACTAAATGGCCCCCCAAAAGTAGACAAAAATGTTTATAGGGGCAAGGAGATGATTCAGTAGGTAAAAGCCCTGAAAAAGCAGGCACATATCATACCCACTCCTATTTCACGCTGAACATATAGTCAGCTCATCATATCAGTTTACAAAAGAGACTGGAAAATGTAGCCTAATTCTGTGCTAAGAAAGAATGGTTTGGTAGCTATCTCTTCGGTTGCCTGTTACTTTGGCAACCATGTTTTTGCATGTATCTTTCCTTTCACATTCATTGTTTCTCAATGTAAAATAAAAGGAGCATTATTCACCCTTTTCTGGAAGAGGCACTTCAAAATTCCATCCAGTCTGTCTTGGGTGGGGCTCTGTCCTCTCACTTGGGTCCAGATGTAGCTCCTAGTTGTCTGGTGACTTGTCACCTGAAGGCAAGGAACATTCTTCCCTTTGTGTCTCTCCTCCCTGTACTGGAATAAACAGTGGAGCAGGGACAGATAACCATAACCCAAACTTCCACTCAGAAAAGGCAAGAATGAAAAGCATTCAGTCACTGGTACAAAACGCAGATGGAAACTAACCAGACAGGGACCTCAAAGTTTGGTCTTGGCAGCAGAAGTTTTTTTATTGCATCTATTCCTGCTCTCTGGAAGGACCATCATCTGTTATTCTTCTTGACCATATCTGAAGATGGTTTGGGGGATGTATTCCTCTGGGGGAATCTATGTAGCCTACAGTTCAGTTTGTAGACCCTTAGATCCATGGTCGTCAGAGTAATATGTTTACAGACTCTTCGGCAAGTGACTTTCTTCAATTTTAGTAAGCTCTCACTTTATTTACTTCCCATGTGTCTGTAAATACAACCCAAGGTTTTGTCTGGATCTTCTACCCCGTACTTCACTTCCTGCTTTCTTGTTTACCCTCTTGACATGTTCTCATTGTAATGAGAGCTATCTAAATAATTTGGCTTGGAGAGAAGACACCAGAGTACGTTTCCCCCATTGCAATCCAGAATCAGTTAGCTTTTCAGATGGTGGTTTGTGATCTTTGGGCTTGCCCTTTAAAATCACTGCCATTGTATTAGGGCCCATGCATGAGTGCCTCTACCCACTGAGCCATTTTTCTGACTCCCACCTTGCATTTTGAGACTGTATCTAAATAATTTGGCTTGGAGAGAAGACACCAGAGTACGTTTCCCCCATTGCAATCCAGAATCAGTTAGCTTTTCAGATGGTGGTTTGTGATCTTTGGGCTTGCCCTTTAAAATCACTGCCATCGTATTAGGGCCCATGCATGAGTACCTCTACCCACTGAGCCATTTTTCTGACTCCCACCTTGCATTTTGAGACTAGCCTGGAATTTGCCAGTATGCCCCAGAGGCCTACATGTTTCAGCATCCCCAGCACTGGAATTACAGCACTCACTACTTAAAAGGTTTGGGTTTTTTGTTTGTTTTGTTTGTGTGTGTGCATGCGTGTGTGTTTGATTCATTTATTTTTGTTTGATGTATATGAGTGTTTTGCCTGCATGTATGTGGGTATATCCATGTTGTGCAATCCCTATGGAGTTCAGAAATGGCATCAGATCCCCTGGAACTGGAATTACAGGCAGTTGTTTGCAGTCATGTGGGTACTGGGAACCAAACCCTGGTCCTTTGCAAGGGAAGCCCGTGATCTTAACCGTTGAGCCATCGCTCCAGCCCCATCTTTTCTAAGATAGGTTCTGGGGATCAAGAGCAGGTTCTCTCTTGCCTTTAAGAGAGATGTGCCCCAACCACACTGCTATCTTCTGGCTGGCTAAAATCTCAAGATGGTGACCAAGACTTGGCCACGCATGTTGTGTCCCAGACTGCCTGTTTCCTCCAAGGGGTGGGACCTGCTGCGGAGAATTGACTGCGGAGGAGCTTCTGGGAGCCATCTTGTGACGGAAGTGGCAACAGCTGAAGTGAAGAAAAAGATGGCCCCAGCATCTCACCCAAGGGCGGGGGGGGCTTTACCGACCTGGGGCGAGACTGCAGGCCCAAGATGCATAGATGAAAGTTAATGGAGACTGTGGAACCGCAGGAAGAGCTACACAGAGCTGGGTGCGGGGCGTGCTGTTTCTATATAAGTCCCTCCATTTACCCCCTCCCGACCCAAGGGCATAAACCATAATAAATTCACATAAAAAGATGTTATATGGTTTGTCTGATCACTCAAAAGACCCGAGGGAACTCAGCAACACATGTAGACAAGGTTCTGGTACATGGATGAGTCACAAGGTGGTGGAAGCCTGAGTCCATGAATCACCACATAAAGAGACCTGTTAAACTCCTGAAGCATCACTCACCATACCACAAAAGGGAGAAATATTCTTCTTCAATAAGTCATTATCTAAGCCTGTGTTTATAACAATTATGCTACTACCAGAGAAATTTAGCTAATGTGTCAATTATCTTCTATATATTTTAAAATGGCAAAAATTGTATAATGTACTTTAGATTTTTTTTCAAATACCGATATTTTAAGTTTTAAATAAATGTTTTCCAGTTATTTTGAAAAAAACTATATTTTAAAATGTAAATTAATTTTACTGATACATAAAACTATAAAAAATTATATATGATAATAGCATATGGCGCAATGTTTTGACACATACAATGTTTAAATCAGGTTACACATACCTATCTCCTGAAACACTTATGATTTCTTTGTGTTAAACCAGTCAACTTCTTTCTTCTGGATTCCTGAAATACAAGGTATTATTTATGGCCAATTTACTGCACACCAGAACTTCCTGCTCCTAACTATAACTTAGTACTCGTTGATCAGGTCAAGTCCTGTCTACATTACAGATAAAGAATTATTACCATGTTTATGTAGGATTTAGCAAAACACAGAAAGAAGCAGAGAATAAAACTGTTTTTGCAAATGTGGTACTTAGACATCTTTACAGTGCTGCAATTAAAATGCTAATATATTTCAAAGACATTAAAATCTCCATTCCAAATGTAATTACTTAATGCTTGTCTTTTGTAGGAAGTGGTAAATTTCTCCAGAGGAGAGACAGGTTAACTTCTAGGGCATAAGTTATACCTGACTCAAATCGAATACACATCTATCAAATATTTAAAGAAAAAATAAGATTATTAATAATTTACTGAATCAAGGTATTAAAATTTTTGTTACTTCAACTTTTTACAAAAAAGTAAAATAATATATATGCTAATATATATGCTAATATTTAATATATATGCTATATATTTGGGGCCAGTAAGCTAGCTCAGCAGGTAAAAGTGATTGCCACAAAATGTGAAAAACTGAGTTCAAGTCCCAGATCAAATGGCAGAAGAAGAGAACCAACTCCTGAATGTTTTCCTCTGACCTATATATGTACACCATGGTACAAGTGTGCCTGCACTCTCACATACACACATACATCATATCATATACACGTCACACACACACATGCACAATAATAATAATAATAAGATTAATTTTTGTAGTTGTATTCCTTCTCACTTGTCCTCAATGCTGTCTTCCTCTTATCAACAAAATTTTCTGAATACAATGAAATCTTAAAAATTTTATCTAACTCGATGGACACACCAGTACTTAACTCCAAAATACATCTGGATTTCAATGTTTAGCTTGAATATTCCATACCCAGACATCTGATATTTTATACAATGAGCTATAAATAAACCTCTGGTAAAATACTATGAAACAGAACTTCTTCTAACTTCAGACATCAAACTTAAACTTTCCTTTTATCGCCTTGAATTTAACAGTGAGAACTGTCTGCATTGCTAAGGACTGTATTTGGTCCACTGTGGGGAAAAAAACATCAATAGCTTGGTTGTTAACTCCCAGTCGTTTTTAGGGAATGGCAGCACAAGATTTATTCACAGACTAGAAATAGGCTTGGTGTGTTTTGCTTAAACAACAGAACAATGGATTAGCACACAGCTTACCCATAATGTCAGCATTAGATAGCAAATCCCTTCAATGCAAATATTTATAACCCAAGCTTTGGAAGGGATGCTTGCCTAAGCTTAAGAAAAGTCATAATTTTAAGAGTGATATTTTCTTTAGCATTAAGGATTCCAATAGAGTACCACTTGACTCCCTGTGTAGAGGCCTAAAAGGATTAGACATTTTGAAAATAGATCAGCAAAACTGAAATAAGCCCACCACAGTTCAATCTGAGTGGAAATTAAAAAGAATCCTAAAACAAATAGTTATTGCTTTCCTGCTTATTACAAAAGTAGTTTGAATAAATATTTGAACCCCAAATATGTTCTTTAAACTTGTACTAAATCTAAGATTGAGAATTAGGTCTTTGGCCTTTATTAACCAATTTTAATGTGTAATGTGTGATGGATCCTCTCACACATTCATTCAAAAACTCCTGGAACACTGAAGCAGCCTCCATGTTTTCTCTCTTTCAGGAGCCTGGATTTTCAGCTAGAGGCATGGACATCCATTGAAGAAAGATACCAACATAATTCTCGTCTCCCTTTCAGCTAGGACCTTACAGTAAACAGAAAGGCTATGTGGTGGCTTCCAAGTTACGCCATGAAAAGGCAGCTGCTATATGTTCTTTACCCTATCTCTGAAGCTACCTACCCATTACTGTTTGGAATGCACACAAAATGAGACCCACATCTTGGAGCTGGCAGAGCAGAAAATTAGAAGCACCATTCATGTCTGAGATTTTATAGACCAGGGCCCCCATACCTGGCCAGATTCCACGCATCTAGACAATGGAAGAGAAAAATTAAAATCCTATATTTCTAAGTCACTACAATTTAATATTGTATATTAATTGTAATATAACTCAATCTTAATGATATAAGTGTAAATTTTAATGTATTAAATAAATATTAACATAAATGCAAATAAGAGAAAGAGATTTTACAATCTGCCTTAAATTGAGCAATGTATATGTAAGGAGCACCAGTCTGGATTATGACAGCTTTTTCCTACTTGGTGTGTGTGTGTGTGTGTGTGTGTGTGTTGCTACTGTTGGTGTGTCTATTTGTTAATGTGGGTGTGAGCATGTATGCATGCCTGAGCGTGCATGTGTATGGGTGTGCATGTGTGGAAGCCACAGGCTGACCCCGAGTATTTTTCCTCAGTTGTTCTCCACCTTTATTTGTTCTCTCACTGAACCAGAAGCTCATCGGCTCAGGATTAAGCCAGGCTGGCCAAAGAGTTCCAGGGTCCTGCCTATCTTTGCCTATCTCAGCCCTGGGATTACAAGGGTGTATACCCCATACCCAGCTTTTTATCTAGGTTCTAGAGAGTCAAACTCAAGTCCTCATACTTCCATAGCATACACATTTACCATTTACTGAATGAACCATCTTACCCTCCACTTATGTTTTAAAACAACTCCCTTCCTCTGGTAACAATCAGCATTTTCCTTCCCCCAAGTCATGAGATCAATTATATTCCATTTCTGAGCCAATTTTAGTTATTTGGGAATGAGAGCAGAGGTGGGACTATAATTAAGCCAGTCAACAGCTCTTGTAATTTACTAAGGGATGGACATACGAATTCTGGAAATGAGCACGTGAATTCAGAATTCCACTGTACTAATTACCTGCTGCTCCAATATGTTGCATGAAACAATTCACTAGCTCAACAGCAAACACCTGCATAGTTCTGTAGCTCAGCTGGACCTACCTAGCTGTAGGCTGAGGATGAACACTTGCCTACTCCATATGCCTTTCATCTCTCTTGGACCATCAAATAATATTGATGAAGTTCTTCTCAAGATGTGACAAGACATAAGAACTCAAGCTAAAACACAGAATCACATTTATATTATGTTCATTAAATACCATTGGGTTGTGATAAAACTATATCTACTATAATAAGTTATAGGGAATTGAGTTAGAGGGAATGGAGATATGGAAATAGGAATTCAACTGATTTTGCAAATATTGTGTGTTTTCAGTATTTTTTGGGACATGTACCAGAATATTCTAAGTCTGGGGCTGTAATATATCAACCTTTCTGTAGGACAGAATGAGATGATACATAAAGACAAGGAAGTGATTTACAGGTGGACATATTAAGTATATTTACTCCTTTACTTTAAAAGTAGGACCCTATCAGAAAAAAATAAAATGCCACATATAATAGTACCATTAGCAAATATTGTAGGGATTCAGAAAATCAGGAAAAGGATTTGTGGGAGTTGGGCTTTAATGGTAACAGAGATGATTTTTCACTATCATACATGTGAAAGCAGTTTTCAGGGAAAAAAATTATGTGTTCTCTCTAGCACACATTGGCTTAGTTACACATCTCTTCTTGCTTTTTGTCATGGAAGATAGGAAATAAAACTACCTATTTTCCTTAAGCCCATTGTCATTAAAGATTATATATAAACAAAAATCTGCTATTGACTCTTAGGAAAGCTCTTCCTTCCTGGCAGAAGTGAAAGATGTGGCTTGCTCTAATGTTTTTTTCACTATCTTCCATTCCTGTTTTCTTTCCTGGAATAAAGTATGTTGCCCAACCCAAGAGGAAAGCAGAGCTCGTAGTCTTGACAACAATGACAACTGTCAGCAGTTGGCTTTGCTGATCTTGTTCAGAGAAACAAATAAACCCTTACTTGATTCTGATACTGTTAATTAGGCTTTCTGTTCCTTGTTATCTCAAAGAATTCCTAGCTGTTCTGAGCCCAAATTCAAGATAATGTCTACTTTAGACCAAGACTATTATAGAAATAATCATTGTTCATAACACATTTTTTGCACCCATCACTGACTAATTTTTTGGAGGGGAGAGGCCTAATATTTATGTGTGTGTCTGTGTGTCTGTGTCTGTGTGCGTGTATATGTATGTGTGTCTGTGTCTCTGTTTCTCTGTGTGGGTGTGTGCATGTACATAAGCCATGACATATGATGGATATCAGAAGTCAGCCTTGAGTGTCAGTCTTCACCTTTTATGCTGTGTGAGGAAAGGTCTCTTTTACAGTCTCCACTGTGTGCACCAAGTTACCTGAATTCTCCAGTATCTGCCTCCCATCTTGCCATAGAAAGACTGCAGGCTCGTATTACCATGTCTGGCTTTTATGTGGGTTCTGGGGATTTGAACTCAGGTCTTTATACTTGTGCAGCAAACACTTTACTCACAGAGCCATCTTCCCAGTCTGAGTTACTAGTCTTGGAAGAACTGTAGGTAAAGATAACCATTCAATAAATAAATGATATTTTTATCAAAAAGACAACAAACTGGAAATCATCTTGCACTTGTATAAATGTTAAATTGCTATTAGGAGAAGGGCACAAAGTCATCACAAGTGTTTAATGGGGATATCATTTAAAACATCTACAACCATAATAGCCAAGGATTCTAGCCAGGATGAAATAAGTGGTACCAGAATAGCTCTTAAAAGAAAACTGGACAAAATATAAATAGTATCTATTTTTAAAACCTGGAACGTGGACTACACCAAAGTGCAGTTTTTTAATAGAAAGGAAAACAAATGGGATGAGGCCTACAATTGCCCTCATTCAATGCCTTGGGTATTTTCAGACCATGGTCTGCACAAAGAAAGGCAAAGCTGCAGTTAGGAGAAAAAGATTGAGCTTTGAGATTGTGATGTGGCTAGAATTTGTAATAAGCAGTGCTAGAAAGGAAGAACTATACAAAGGAAGTGCTTCAAAACATTCTGAAAGCTTTCAGCTGAATGTTAAGCTGAGCACATGTAGGGTGAGACTCTACAAGG